TAAATCTTAAAAATGATAGTGAGTAAGGTGTTTAAATGTAAACAGAAATGAAGAAACTCATTGACACAACTTCAACTTCTAAATCTATTAGCCTAACTCTCAAAGCATTTGAAGTTCCAATACATTTATGGCACTAAACTTGTGCCTCATACTAGAGTACTGAAAAATGCATTGCAAATCCAGGTGACATCGAGAATTGTTCGTACATTCAATAAACTATTTGAGTTTGGATTCTGGCCACATCAAAGTTAAACAGAACAGTACAAACACTATCTCTTAGATGGAAAGGGGTGATTGTGAGTGTCCAAAGTGTGGAGAGAATCATGCTGTGCATTAAGTGGAAAGGCATAAAGTGAAACAAATACAGATGTTACATACTCTCACCAAGCAACAAATGGCATCACATTCTGTTGTCTTTAAAATATGGTGTATGTTTAAACTAAACACCTAGTAAACAATCAGTGGCATTATATTTAGCTACAGAAAAACTTTCATTCAAATGACAAATTGGCTTTGAAATTTTTAACTGCCTTTTGACTCGGAATCAGTAACATCTTTTGTTCTGAAAATCGTCTTCAAAGATTCAACATGGTAATTTCAAATATAACTTCAACAGCTGTAAGCACATCTAAGTTCATGGTAAACATTCAGTTCTAGTCAAGTTTTATTATAGCGAACACACTAATGGTTCCAAAAACTGTACAATGCCAAGATGATGAAGTTACAGTGTACACATACAACATATCATCTTGCTGATCTTACACAGAATACAGTCTGATCAATTTGGGTACAGACTAAATTAAAAATGCTGTAAAAATTAAGAAAGACATGTTACATAGACCATGTATTGTGTGCATGGCCATAAAACTTGGGAATTTGATATGCAAAACTCACTGCACATGAGGATCTATGAATTCAAAGATTTCTTCTCAGGTGGCTTTTAACAGATGAAGCAATATTCCATATCAGTGGTATGGTGAGCACTTATAATATCATCACTAAAAATCCCTGTGACACCTATAAACTTAAAAGGGCAAGTCACAAGGTTTATGTCTGGCATGGAGTATGTGGCCCCTTCTGCTTCACTACTATTTGCACAACACACAATGCCTGAACAGCTTGCCAACTTGTAAAAACCAATACTGGATTCAATAATGACTTTACTAAATTCAGTCACTGTGAAAATTATACATCATATACTATCCTAGATTCCTTGAAGGAAATATGTTTCATATTTGACATGTGTTGACCACTTCTACAGCATGGAGTTTGTAAAGACAGACAAAAAAAGAAAGTGCCAAAGAAACATAACGAGACCCTGTATGATAACTTTCAGGTTGTCAGCTGTGTTGGTTGAGTTCGTGAAGAAAACACCGTTTCGAGAACTATGCTGTTCTCATCCTCAGGGCACTGGTGTGACTGTAGAAGCGCTTCTTCACCAACTCAACTGACAACACGAAAGTCATCATATTGAAATCACCGCGAAGGTTTTAAATTTTACATGAAGAAACCCATCAGCCAAATAATTTGAACACATATTGGTATCTGACTGTATAAAAGAAAGTAAAGTAAAGCTATTCTCCATGTGGCAACCGAAGAATAAGACTAATCCTACTGTAGTCCACGCGTGTCGTAAGAGGCAACAAAAATGTGTACCCAGTACCTGGGTGTATAACTGGGCCACCCTGTCTCCGGGGGATATAAATACGGAGGCCTGGTCCTCCAGGTTGGGGGATGAGTGCAGGGTTTCCAACGCTACCTCACAAAAAAACTATTGTTCAAAAGTCCAAAACCAGAATGCTCTAAGGAAACAACCATGGAAACGAAATATGGCCTTTGACTAGAATTTGGTAACATGGAAAGTAAGAAGTTTATTTATACCAGGTACTCTAAAGAACATAATATAGGAACTTAAAAGGTATAAAATATGCATTGCTGCTCTACAAGAGATAAGGTGGAAGGAGAATGATATATTTGATAATGATGGCTACACCATATGATACAGTGGAAGTAACAACAGGAATTTGTATGGAACATGTTTCCTGGTTCATAAAAGACTTAGGAACTCAATTATAGATTTTGTCTCAGTGGATGAACGTATATGCTATCTAAGAATCTTTTTAGTCTTGAAGTGCACTGCCTCTGGACAACTTCTACTCAATTCTGATTTGTCTGCTAGAGCCATCTAGTAGTGAATCAGGAAAGATTTGGGTTAAAAATGACCACCGCTTACAAAACATCTCGTATCATGCTTATAAGGTTCTTTTACATGCCGCAAGTCTACAAGATGGGACTGCTGGCTATGGTTTTTTATCACCCTTAATAATTCATGGACCTAGGCAGGGTTTGAACCTGGTAACATTGGGTCCAGTGGCGAGCACTAGTCCACCGAGGGCGACAATTAATGTAATAATAACTAAATATTTTTAAGCTGTTTATGGGCCAATATTAGTTTCAGTGAAACTGTGTTAAATTTTCAAAGTAAAAGGTGCATAATTATTAGGAGTGTCCATAACTTAAAGTTCCATAATGCATCTAATAGCTTTGCCATTTCTGTCCAATTGTAACAGCTTGGAAAAGACTAACAGACTTTCACAAAATCTGATACTGGGGAACTTCATTAAAATTTGCCAACACATTTCAATTTTGGTGCAAATCAGATAAAAAGAATGGCCACTTACACAAAGACTAGCATGCATTTCTGTAACTGTAACTAGATGCGGAATCTCCAGCTGAGGGCTTCCCACTCAAACATGCAACCACATAGGGAATCCTCTGTGATATCATCACCCAGCCATTTATCCTGCCAATGCACAGGACAATGATCCCAAAAAAATATGACATCACTGGTGCCATCGACACAGGTCAAATTCTTGTGAGTGTTTACATTTCCTAAACTTCATATATATATTTATTCTTCAAGTCTATACACAAACCATTTTAAATATTGATGTTAAAAATTAAAATTGATATAAATATTCTGCGCTATTCATCGTTTCCTCGATGTTACAGTTTTGCGCTATATATTACAACATGTTTCGATGTCTCAGCATCATCTTCAGGTTTTTATTTTTAAAACTATTCTATATTTTTTAATGCACGCTTTTCACTAATTGTAGATTGTAGGTTATTGTTGTGGGTGTTCCTTTGATCTTCTGATTCTTTTGCATATTATGTGGCGTATTATGTTATTTGTTCATTATTCTGTGAAATTATCAACAATATAATTAACATTATTAAATTATTTATATGAAAATGAGTTTGGATATTGTCATAAAAATTCATTATAAACATAGAAACATAATAACATACCAGGTTTGTGTATAGACTTGAAGAATAAATATATATATGAATTGTAAACACAAACATGACGCATCTAAACTATAAATTTCCTAAACTGTTAGTATAAAACTCCTCCAAGACACCAGTGGTTATTATTGTAACATTCATCAGTTGCAAATATTCATTAGTAATGTATGCATAAGTATATCTGCTTTCACTTGTATATCTAAAACCTATGTTTCACGCCAACAGAATTTATGCTATTGCAAAATTTTTCTCTAACCACACACCAACTGTGTTTTTCTGGGTTGTGGCAACATGCAGTTTTATAGGTAATTACCAAAGGTTTGGAGAAACAAATTGCCTCCATCTTCAGAGTGGCCTACAAGTCAATACTGTACTCCTCTTCGGAATGAAATTTTTATCAATAAATATAAAAACCAATAACAGTTTCTAACCTCTACACTTATTTACATCTTATAAGCCACATGCACAGAAACATGTAAGTACTCCATGACTGCAGAAGACTATTTAGTAGTCATGAAAACAGTCATAAAATGATTAAGGAGAAATTATAAAAACTAATGAAGCAGTATGTTATTTATCATGATAAAAACACTAGAAGATGTAGTGAAAGAAGAAAATGTTAAAAAAATTCTTAGACACCATTAATCATTTTATAAAATACTATTTCTTATATATCAATCTAAAACAGTTCTCTGGGAGGTATAAACTGATAAAAATAATGTATGATAGCTTTGGACAGGCTAACATTGTTAGATCCATTCCAGAAATAAAGTAAGGAGAAATATTCCAGGAAGTCTTACATCACATCTGGATAAGACAATACTCACCACAGGAATACACTGTTCTGCAATATTGTGGCAGAAATTATGATATTCTGAATGTATTCACCTAACTGTGCTTTAGAATATACGATCAGGAAAGTCAAAGATGGGGAGGAGGGTTTGCAATTGAATGGGACACATCAGCTACTGGCATATGCTAATTATGTTAATTTATTGGGTAACGATATAAATACAATAAAGAGGGACACAGAATTTTTACTAGAAGCTAGTATAAAGGTTGGCCTAGAAATAAGTTCAGAAAAAGAAATTAAGTACATGTTAGTATCCCATCAGCAGACAGGACAAAATCATATTAGGGTAAATCCATGAAACAGTTCAAATATTTTGGAACAACAACAAATCAAAATTATATTCATGAGGAAATTTGGAGGAGACTAAATTCTGGAAATGCTTGCTACTTCTCAGTTCAAAATATGTTGTCTTTCCATCTGTTTTCTAAGAACCTAAAGATTAAAATTTACAAAACTACAATTTTGTCCATTGTTTAGTATGGGTGCGAAACATGGTCTCCATCTGTTTTCTAAGAACCTAAAGATTAAAATTTACAAAACTACAATTTTGTCCATTGTTTAGTATGGGTGCGAAACATGGTCTCTCACACTCAGGGAGGAACATAGATCACAGACATTTGAGAATAGGGTGTTGAGGAGAATATTTGGCCTTAGGAGAGAAGAAGATGTATGGAGAAAACTACATAATGACGAGCTTAACAATTTGTATTCCTCCTGCAATATTGTCAGGGTGATTATCATCAAGCGGGATCTATGGGAAATAGTAGTTGAAGGTAATTGGATTTTGCTGGCAAAGGACAGGGACCTACGAAGGGCTTTGGTTAATTTGGTGATGAATAATTGGATTTTGCTGGCAAAGGACAGGGACCTACGAAGGGCTTTGGTTAATTTGGTGATGAACCTTTGGGTTTCTTAAGCCATCTAATTAGTTAGTAAGTTATTCACCTAACTCCCACATAAGTACTAAAAACATGGCACAAGGTGGCTGCATGGTGTTGATTTCCCATGATTTTAAGCATGTCATTTGTCTGCTAGGTGTATTCATTTTGTATGAATGAAATTTTTACAACAGTGGTTTCCAAATGGATCACATTATGAGGCAAAGGGCAGATGCATGTTTTCTCATGAAACAAGCAAAGGACATATGTAGAATGTACTTTTGTTTATAATTTTCTACAGAACAAGTAATATTTTACTGACTATATGCCTAATTATTGTTCAAAAAATTTCTTAATGAAACTACAGGGTCTGTTGTACACTAGCTATGTCTACTTCAACAGCTGATTAAAGACAAGAAGTCAAAACTGGAGGAAAATACTATATTAAAAAAGTTGGAAACCACTGCTTGCTGGCACCTTTACTGCCTTATATATTAAGATCTGAGTTTGAGTGAACTGTATTATTACTGAGTGAAGCCTGTTGCCGAAGGTATGTTGCAAACATCTGTCTGGCTTGGTTCAGTACCCGTGTCACATTGTGCTTGCGGATCATCTTATCAAAATGCATGGCCATCTCATTGTAGTCCATGCCATTACCCATTACAATATCCCTGTGCTGACGGAGAACAGTCAGACACAGGAACATGAGAAATGGATTTCCACCTCCAAACTCAGACGGAGGAGGTAGCAGATTTTTGGAATATTGCAATGGCTGTTTTGTGCTTAAAACTGCAGGTGTGGAGTTTCTTAATGTATGCTCAGTCACCTCCTCACATGAGTTAGTCATAGCAGATGTCGGAGCTATACCTGACATTTCTTGGTTTGCTTTTTGTCTTAGATGTCCAGGATCACAGTTCTGTTTTTCAGATGAAACACTTCCTCTGCTTGATACAGTTTTGGAAGGGCCATGTGCATCTACTTTATGGTCAACCCAGCCATCCGAACTGTCACTTGCATCATCTGTTGGCAACGATGTTCCATTGCTAGTCTGTACACCAACACCACTTCGCACCAGTCTAATAGGTGTCACTGACTTTATACCCTGACCTTCATTTTCAAAAATCTCCCCACCACTAACAGTTACACATTGAGAATCATCATACTCCAAGTCTGCCTGCTCATCTGGCGTTGCTGGACACTGCAGTGGATTCTCCCACACAAATATCTCCTCCCCAGTGCTAAATGAAGAGCCTGGACTGAAGTGATGATGATTCAGTCTTATACAGCTTGGAACTTTCTTCTCTGAATCTGATGGTTGTTTCGGTATTTGATTTCCATCATGTTGTTGCCAGCTATGAGCCAATTTCAGAGTCAGTGATTTAAAATTGGGTTCAGGGCAGATCTCAGCCACTTGTAAACCTATAACAGTTTCAGTATGTACACCAGAGGCATTTTTGGACACTACATAATTTTTATGTCCTTTTCTGTCAACAGACAGGAAAGATTCACTGCATGGTGATTCTATTTCTTCTGAATCTTCTAGGGTAAAGCTTTGCTGACTGAACTTTGAACCAAACACCTGGCGATCTAGGTTTTCTAATTCTAGCCGCAGTTCTCGTGTCATTGATGTTGTCATTGGGAAGTACTCAGCTGAATCATCTGGAGAACTACCATCACAAAATGTGTCCTTATTTCCAAACTGACCTTTACCTTTATTATCACAGGTGAGGATTGTGGAGTGGTTCTGTAACTCTTTTTGAGATACTACTGTAGGAAGATCACCATCTCCCAAGTTAGTTTTGACATTATATTTATTCACTGATGTATTTTCTTGCCATACCTGGGTAGATTCCTTCTTTGGAGGTGAGCTAGGAACTATTTTGTCTGGAAGTAAACGGTTTTTATTAAGGGCTGTAAAGTTCAGAAATTCATTTAAATTCTTCACCACTCGCACTTGTGTCTTTTCTGTCACATCATCTGTAATCATATCTTGAGTATTGCTTTTATCCACTGAAGGAAAGAGATTCTTATTCTGGCTTCCAGAAAGTTTTTGCTTCAAATTCTGTAGGTACCCTCGCTTAGTTGCCAGTTTTGGAATGACAAGATTGTCTGTGCTACCAGAACGAACTTCAGCTGTTTTTCTCCTGTTGATATGGTTTAAGGATGTTTCATCTGATTCAGGTTCTGAGAGTGTTTCAAATAAGGAAGTAGACTGTGATTTGGATTCTTGTCTTTGAGCCATCATCCGGATACTGGTATCATCTAGGCTTGAGAATGGCATCACTTTATTTTGCTTTTCAACTGTTGAAGTCTCATCCAAGCTCTGATTCTGCCTGTGACGAATAACTTGACGAGTACTAACAAGAGAACTAATGGATGCTGCAGAACTCTGGCGCCTTAATGCACACACTTTAGTGTATGCATTCTCTCGGGGTGTCTTTAGGAGAGGAGCATCCCCTGGTGTCAATGAACAGAACTGCTTTTCAAAGAGCTGCAGTTCCTTCTGTGGTGGTGTAGGGGGCAAGGAACTCCAAAGCACTTCCAACATCCGTAGGGCATCATCAAATGCAAATTCCCGTTTCATCTCAAGTAACAACCAGCGGTAGCAAAATAGAAGGTCATCAGCCTAATGGAAAGCAAACCACAAAAATGAGCAAGCTGATTTTATACAAACTCAAAACAAGCACATATCACCTTAAAACATAAATACATACATCTATGTAATTTTCTTACTGGGAGTATTTCCTTAAAAATCTGCAGACAGTTTGTCAAAAAGTGGTTTCATTTCATAAGCTGCATTATAACTAGAATTCCAGAAAATCTACCACAGAACATGTTCAGAGATAATGTGAATCATAAAAAAGAACCTGACCAACTGTCATATAATCTAGAATGTCAGATTAGATGTGCATAAAAAAATTAGGAACAGGAAAATTTGCATTTCAGAAAGGGTGACAATTTTTCATTTTAAAAACAGGCCTCCTTCACAGAAAAAGGATACAAAAATAAGCAGTTATGGCCTTATTTAAGGTACTATGCTGATATTTGCCTGGGAGAACTATGGAAAACTATAACAGACCTCAGTCAATATAAATATGGCTGTTTTCAGGCTAAGACTTGAACCCAAGACCTCCAGGATAGAAAACAGGAGTGTTAGCCATTCGGTCACAATATTTAATTTGCAATTTGTTGGCTTGCATGTCTCCTCATGTCAATTTATATTGTTTTGCAAAGAAGTCATGATTAGAGAAACATTTCCATCAATGGGAGAGGTTTGCAAACAGCCTGGTGTTGCAATCAATTGAATTTGTTATACTAGAATGTTAACATTTGTGCAACCTAATTCTCAATAAAACTATCTTTTCATACCCAATTGTAATGATACCAATGAAATGTGTTTTGCTGCCGCATGTTACTTGAAGACCATGAGTGATGGGCGCATGTGTCAAAAATACAATCAGAATAATCTGATTGCTAGAATCAACATGCTAATGCCTCAATAATTCAAATTCAGTCTCAATTTCTGAGGACAAATCTACTTGTACTTGTTTCTAATAGCCTCAGTAATCAAAATTTCAGTAATATTACTGCATTTGAAAATGACTGTTTATATTTCAGCCTATATAAGTAACTGTTGGGCCCTGACATATCCATTAAAAAACATGAACATAACCAAATTTGTTACTGTTATGGTTCTGAACTGTATGCTTGAAACATGACTAGCATATGCACTCACAAAATAAAGGAAAAGGGCCATAAAGATATTTACATTGCTATACAAAATAAATTAATAAATGCAGTTATGTGACATTAGCTGATTGTAAAGTGGACCAGAAAGAATGTTCTACACAACAGAACTGAATTTTGAATCATTATTTTTGTGAGAATTTTAAAAGCAGGACTGCATTATTACATAATTTGGTGGCATCTAAAATCAGCACGTACCAGTGTAGTATATCAAGAAAGCTCGAAGTTTTAAATCAGCATGCAATGAATGAATTGTGTAATGTCTGTATGAACATAAATGAGAAATGGAAAGAATGCAAATTTAACAATTCACAGAACTGATCTCAGTCTTATATACATAATGCATGATACTTTTCTTCATTGTAGCATGCTAAACTTCATCACCTCCAGCAGAAGTGTCAAACTTTAGAAGCAGATCTCCATGACCAGAGACTCTTTTCACTAAAATATGCTCAAAAATTTACAATTTAAACAATTAAGCTGCTAATGAACTATAGATATCGGCCATTAACATACCATTGAAACTGATTTTTTCATCAGCCTATCTACAACCATAATTAGTTAGGTAACTATAGTTAGTTGTTCCTCTCTAGATTTTATGAATTACAATTGAAATGCAGGGCCCTTTTACCAATCTAAAGATTGTGACAACTGTACAAAAATTTTCATAACAGTTTTCTTTCTGTAAGCTAGAAGAATTCTGAGAAGGTAAATCCGACAAATGAAATAAATATTTTAATGTGTGTTAAAGAGTACCATATTTCTTTTTCTGTTCTACTATTATTCTGGTGTATTGCACTGTGCAACAGTGAATCACCCAATGATGTGAGCAGTGACAGTTTACTTAGCATCAAATAAGATCAGTGAACATCAACCACTCCATCTTAAATGTAAGGGTTCACAGTGTTCTTGTTTTACCACAGTAAAGGAAGTTACCTACATGACCTATTATTGCTTCCTTCCACATCCTTTCTAATTTATTATTCACCATCACCATCTCATTCAATGCTACTAAGTACAAGCTACTGAAAAAGCGTCATCACATAAACTATAAATAAATAAATGAATGACCAAAGTCAGGGGTCAGCAACCTGCAGCCCACGGGCCATTTCCTGCTACTGAGGAGAACAATACTTTAAATAAATAAACAAATACACACACATTACGTAACTGTAAGGATAATCACAAAAAATATTCTAATAAAACAAATTTTTTTGTATATGTAAGACTAAAAAATAAACTAATGTTATTGTGCAAAAGGGAAGCTGTTCCACTGTTCAGACCATATGAAAGGTAATAGAATATAACAAATACTGTGGTAATAACAACAAATTGAAATAAAGACTTTCTATAAACTAACACACTCTATAAAAAAACCTAAGTTGTATAGAAACAGCTATTATCCATTTTCAAGTGAATACCAGTTGAACTGTTTAAGTTCATAAAATGCAGTTACACCTTCTGTCCGCAATATTATTATACTTTTATCCATATGTTTTTGAAGCTGGAGAATAATGTATAACTTTGTCTTTTACGTGAGAGCCAAACATTGCAATTGCCATTTTCAAGGTGGGTATGAGGTGGCATAAGTTCAGATAAGGCAGGCAGTGGGTGTGAGATAACTTTGATGGTGCTGATTGGTGGAGAGGAGGAACAGGCTGCTATCCAGTGAGAGGAAAGAGGGTGGCAGAAAAATTGAGGTGACAAGGAAGTTCTGGTAACCATGTTGGGTGGTAAAGGATTTCCAGGGATTAAATTGAAGGGAGTGATGGCTATTCATCAACCACAAGGTATGGAGAGGTGATGGCATACCCGTCCTTATGACAGCCCAGCAGAATCAGTGATTCAGAGGTAAATAGGTGAAGACAAGCTTTGCTTAGCCTGTAGCCATTTGTGTGCCTGAAGTTGTGTTGGTGCTTGAATACCTTGACTGCCTCCCCAATTATGTGGTGATGGTAGCTACTGATTGACTTCTGTTTTGTTGAAGTCAATGTCATGTCTGGTGGCTGTAGAAGGCTTAGCTACTGCAGATTGCTAATTCTCCAGTCTGGTGTCTCTTATGTGTTCCATAATCCTGGCCAACCATTACATCTCCACCAGGATTAGAGAACATATGAGATACCGCAAAGGAGAACCAGCAATCAGTGGTAGCAGAGCATTCTATAGTTACCAGACACAGTATTTACTTTGACAAAACAGAAGTCATCAGCATCTACCATCCCCTTACATTCAGGGAAGCAATCAAAATATCCAAGCAACCACACAACTTCAACCATGAAGTTGGCTACAGGCAAGCAAAATCTGGCTTCTACTGTTTCCCTCCAATCCACCAAACTTTCTGGGCCATCAAAAGGGCAGGTCCATCATCACTTCTCCAAACCTTGTGGTCAATGAACTGCTGCTATTCCCTTCCACGTAATCACTGCAAATCCTTTCTAACATAGTCAGCAGAACCTATTCCCAATTTTCCCATCACTAACTTTCCTCAAACAAATGTTCCTCTCTCATTGAATTGAAGCCCAATCCTCCACAACACCAACCAGCACCATCAAATTTATCCTGCACCCATTCCCTGCCCTACATATGGCTTTCTGAACTGACAAGTGCAATGTTTGGCAAAACATTGGTTAACACCGAACATTGGCACATCTTTCACCTGAAAGCTCAAGCTAAACATTATTACAATTGTGTTGCAACCCTCAACAAAGATATGAATATCCATGGTAATGATAAAGTTTCCAACCCCTGGCCTATGTAATCCTAACCACACCCTCACACCATACTTCCTTTCAGTGTGTCAGTTTGTAAAAGTCTTGTTCTTGTAGGACAGCTGTAACACTATTAAACATACAGGAAAATAACCTGCTGCAACTTATGGTATGAGCACTACTTTATGGGAAATATTCACCAAGGTGTAGAATAGAAATATGATAGCAAAAGGTTTCTAAAATAATGTATAACACTGAGCTCTCTGGGAAAATTCTAACCTCAACAAACTGTTTTATTTATTTTTACTGTAATTTTTCTCTCACAGGTGATGTGGCACTGCCAACTGTGCAGAAGAGAGCTTTTGTACTGAGAAGGTTCAGACCTACTACTTATTCTGCTACAGTACTGCACTGCATTTATGTAACAAAAATTCAAAACACACTAAAAATTGCATTATATATCAATATACCACATTTATCCAAATACTAGGTTATCTGTTTTCTAAAAATGTTATATGAAAAAACTGGATATGATCTGATTCAATGATTCCATTTTGGTAGCTCTAAATGCTGTACATGGAAATATGCAAGATAAGCAGGAAACTTGATGTTCAAAACTGTCAAGCGTTAAGCACTGGAAGGTAGTTATTCTCAGCTGCAATATTGCTTCAACTGCAACAGGTTTCTAGTGCTGTTAAGATCAACTGTAATTATCCATACCAGTTTACTTGGCATCTGCACTCCACAGAAGTTATCCACTGGTCTAAAGCATTCTGTACTGGAATTGTTGTTTGGGACACTGATAATTATGATATAAATTCAGACGGCAGCGATAGCATCAGTGAAGCATGTAGGTAATTGTAAGTACAGTACTGTTATTTATTGTGAGCCAAGTAGCTCAGTCAGTAATAGTGACTGACTGCTGGCTGGGCGATCAGGGTTTGAACCCTGACAGAAGCAGAGGATTTTGTTCTAGCCTCTGTCCAGACTGGAGCCCACCCAGCCCTGTGTCAAATGGGTACCAGGGCCCTTTCCCAGGAGTAAAGTGTAGCCAGGGCATGCTGCTAACTACTCACCCCCTTCTAGTGCTGAGGATGAAAATAAGTAGGAGCTTACCCCCTCACCCCTAGGTGCCAACATTGGCATGTAACAGGATGGCTTTTACTTCTATGTATTGATTCATCATGCTATTGCAGATTTATAGAGGGAAACATTAGTAAAATTTATCACTTTTTAGTCTTTAGTATTAGTTTCAGTGAAATATTTTCCTTTATAAATGTTATAAAAGTTTGGGTACATATCTTATTCAAGTAATTTCATAAATATAATATTGTATGAAGATCCTTTGTAAATAGACTCAAATTATCTTCATACATTTAAATTATCCTTCTGGGCCAATCAGACCCAGTGATGTCCCTGAAGGATATGAACAAGGGGAGAAGGACGAGGCATTGGATATAATGATTAGGATCTATGTTACTACAGACGAATAAAAATACTATCTTCTACCTAGCAGCAATACAGCAGCAGTGGTTAAGTAGTTAGAAGCATGGCCCTGTGAAGGCCACCTATAATTTATGTAACTGACATCCCAACATAAAGAAACTTTAACTGAGAATACCTCCAGATATGGAAGATAGCTGTAAATATATTGAATAAGCAGTCATGGACAGCTGACAAAGGGTGATCCTCCATCTTGAGGGTTGGGCAGGGGGCCAACAATTCTAAATGTAAACACTAACATGTTACAAGATGTGATTCAGGGCCTTTTATATGGTTCTGCTAAGAATAAGTATTAATTGTAGACTCTTGTGAACATGGTTATAATCTGTTTCCATGAAAATGGGTTACTTATTGACTATTTAAGTGACTATCAGCTCCATTAAGCTAGTTAATTAGCTATATTCAAATTTAACCTCTAGAGATTTCTGTAGTTAGAAAGTTTCATATAGGAACACAGAACACATTCTGGTAAGCTAGTCAAGGCCATACTTGTGCAAAGGAAGCCTAAACCTACTCACAGCCCCAAACATAACTGCCCTAGGTTGGTTCCACTGGAATTCTGAATGCTGTTCACATTATGTACATAGATGCTCACCTGATGACTCTTTAGGTAAGCATAAAACTCTGGGTCATAATACAGAATTCCTTCTGACAAATGCTGGAATTTGAGTGTCATTACAATGCCATCCAGCATAAAGTTTGAGTGAAGGCGCTTCATCAGTGCGCAGAAACAGATGTATGCATGTGCTTCATCTCCCATTGTCACCAGCAGTGGTGATGCAAGGTCACTCATACCTTGACAGTAGCTCACTGTTGGATGATTTAGTGCATACCTAAAATGAGAAGCCAACACACACTATTGAATCATGTTTAATATGTTTATGAAAAGTCAGACAGAAATATAAAAAGTACTTGTTATTGGCTTCATACAATTTAGGATTCTAATTGATTAGGTACAGTCACCACACAAGTTACACATGTCAAGATTTAATGGTTCATTGGTACTCATAATCACATTAAATATTTTGAGAAAGTGCTTTGTTGATTTTTTAATTTTTATAAAATAGTAATTTATTAGGAGCTGCATACAGGTTATTTGAATCTACACTGTTCCACTGCAATGCCACAGACCTATAAGGGAATACATTTTGTTAATGTATTTCCTGTGTGATATACTAGTACCATCATTATGAGTAACACGTACATCCAAGGAATGAGTATTTGTCATTTACATTATAACCTATTTGTCAATCAGTTAGGCCACTTGATGACTTGTTCCAGTTTCAATTGTCAAAAAGTTTCTTCAGAGGCCATCCATTACGTTTGTAATTTTTCAATAATTTGGGAAACCTGTGTGTCTGCATGATAAAGCCACTTTGTTTTATATTTCAAAATTTTGCCCAATATAGGTTGTTTTAGTTCTTTTAGCATGTGTTTATGTCCATTACTGTCCATTCAAGTGTTTTACATTGTTTCAAAATATGTTCCCCTTCCTAAGAATAAAGCCCCTAAGAGTCAAAACTGAACCATGCTGCCAACCACATCATCACCAATTTTTATTACTTTTATTTTACAAGCAGGTGCCAATAAAGTAAATGCTTTCACAGAGTTTCAGTTTTCTATTGTGACTAAACTCTTGTACATTAATTAATTAAATTAGGCAGTTTTTATGACACAGTAGACAATTTTCCCCCACAAATATGTACATATCTCTATTACTTAAAATGACAGAAGTACAAGATTTGCCATCCAACAGTACTTTTACTCATTGGATTGGTTCAAATTTTATGCACATGATCTGCAACAGTTTGACAGTTATGACCTTTGTACCAGCCTCTTTGAAACAATTAAAAACAATGTGGGAACACATTTAAGAAGGTGGCACTTTTACCAAACTCAAACAAAATAATGTATTATCAGATACAAATTTAAACATGGTGGACTATCACTGGAGTGATAAAAATTGAACTTTTAAATGTGTAAGCAAGAAACATTTTTTCATCATTTATGACAGCACATGAAATTTGCTTCAAAACTTGTGAACATAATGATCAAATCACTTGAAATTAACAACCGATACACATACATTTAAACTATACTCCTCTCTTTTCACTGTACTGAAGAAAGTTCTTGCAAACTATGTCTGTAATAGCATGCTGAAATTTGTACTGCTCTCCACTCCTTCCATACAATGATGATGCTGGCACTGTACATAGAACATACAGGGAATATGGCATTTATCTTATCTTTGTGGCTATGAAAATGTCAAAATAGCTTGTCCTTTTTTCACCATAAATTTTATAAGAATATCACATTCTTCATCATTATGTCCAATGCTACATCCAATGTACCAATCACTGTCATATAGAGCAGCAACATACTTTCCGGGACATAACTGACTTGTCTGTACTGCAGCTTACAACATTCACTTTGGTGCCCATATCTTCTTTCTGTGTTATGTTGAATGGCCCATTTATATAAATCTTCTGTGATGTCTCTCAGTTACTTGAAGACTAGCACATACTACAAGTTGATATACTGTTCCATCAGTCCCATCACAAGAAATTTGCCATGCAAAGTAGCAAAGAAATTCCGCTCTGTAGCTACATGAAAATCTTCTTCATGACATCATAAGTTCACAAACTTTTTAAAGTTCTTATATTGCAAACTTACATCACTGAAATAATATATCTATCTCAAGTGTGGAATGTAGTTGCTGTATGCTGAAGAGAGTCACTGACTGGCCAGAAATTCACACACCCTTCTTTCATGTTATTTTCTTCTCCTGATGAGTGATAAACTATAAAAGAGTGTGGACTGGCCTGACCAGTTTCTCAGTTGGAACCCTTGTAGCGCATCTTACCATAAAAATAAGTAATTCTCTGTAAAATTAAGTAAAATAACAGCTTCAGTGTCTGACAGAATGGTTTCTTTCAATATTTTCAAGTATAAAGCTTGTGATTTTGCTATATAATGATGGGTTGTTGTTTGATCTGCTGTTGTATATCCAACTCCCAACTGACCCCTGCAGTGTCGTATCACGAATATGGACACTGCTTTAAAGCTCAGATGACAATCCTGGGCTGGGCGAGTAAGGGGCAAGATGTTCTCAGGTATTAGCCGCAAACAAGTACAGGACAGATGCACTTAACAAAGAGTTTATTAACCAAAATGATGAGTAACAGTAATTGAACCCAACATAGATGGCCAGGCCTTGAGAGGGGTGTGTCTGTCCTGGACACATCTATGTTCAAGACTGCTTGAACAGCTTCCTTATGTAGATTTTCTGGGGTCTTTATTCATAATTATAATCAGTATTTCCTTCTTTATTTCCATGTGACATATAATGCTTGTCAGGTGTAGCAGACATTGGACCGTTCAGGGTGCAGTTCACTTGTACTCCAACCAGTCCAGTTTAACATTGTCAGAGACAAAATATAAGCAATAAAACGTTACAAATATATGTACATCAAGTTTTTCAGCACTTGCAGCGTTTGCTACATATATCCATTATACAATTAATTAATAATTAACAGTATCTAATGTATCCTATTTTTCTTATATTAATGACCCTTTAAAACAGTCATATACTACATGCTGTCTGGCAGTATTTTTCAGTTCACCAACAGAACTTGTCATGGATACAATTTTTGTCTGAACCCTTTGTTTACAAACTATAGTCTTCCACATCAGAATCATTAGCATGAAATAAGTCTTCAACAACAGTCTGCAGTTGACACTGTCCTGGGCAGTTCAAACATCTGTGATGCATACAATTCTGAGACCCTCTGAAGTATATCAGATTTTCAAAAATAAATCTCTAGTCTTTCTGTTCTGGTTGTGCAGCAGTCAGTAATTTCAAATTCTGATGATTCACACACACAAAATACATTCCCTTGGATTCCCCTCCTTAGGAGTAAGCTACTACTTCCATTTTCCAAAAGGCACCAACACAATAAATGTAAAAAGAAACAACACTGTTGGTAGAGTTTACTGCTGACTCAGTTCTACATTCTTATTGGTGTGTTATGCTTGGCAGTGTTACTAGATCTTTTCATATCTGCCAGTGCTACCAAGATTCCAAAACAAGGATCAGCATAACGCTGGTACATAATTTAAAATTTTAATTTGCTGCCAATGGAGAAAATGTCCACTCTAATTATTTTTTCGTAATAGGTTATGAATTTTCTTTTGTGCTTCGTAAAAGTTTAAGTTTTCTAATTGTAATACAACATTGGTTCTAAATTTCTTCAAAAGGCTGGTACTAAGGTCATAACTCCACATGCCACAATTCTATTAATTTCTACCCCAAATATGGAGCAGCATGTCCCCCAAAATCTTGGTAAACAGCTAATAACTATAAGTGTTGCAATTCAGATCACAATATATGAGCACAAACCTCTTTTGTTTCCCTTATCAAGATTCAATCAACATTATACAAGCAGAATGGGTACACCAGTGCTAATTATCATCTATATATAGTTCTGTTAAGTACATTCACATTACTGTAATGTGAGTGAACAGAAGCACCACTCAATCAAAAGCTAATGTTATTCTGATTTCCATAAAAATAAAATGTGGTCAGATCCATAAAAGCTACGGAGGTATGTTACAAATTTGACCTTGTAGTCACAACAGGCAATTAAAAAATGTAGAATATGTTCTATGTGTGCATGTGTGGGGGAACTGGTTCATAGAAATGTATTTGCAAGCTTTAACATGTAGTAGCCAGTATACCTGCAGTGTACAAATTGTGTTCACTATTCTAGAGGTACCTTTAGAGTAGCTCACAACAAGTATTTTGTTTCCATTTATCACATTTATTCTACAACCACTGACAATAAATGATTCTAAGAATTGTAGTTAGTATCGGTCATCAAATGTGAATTAGTTTATAAAGATCTGAAAATATTCCCCAAAACAGGAACACAGAATATGTGTATACTGACCAGTTCAGTACATCTCAGTGTAACAACATTTCCCTTTTACTTGTACTTCATTTTACACTGTTCAAATTAGAATCTTCACTAGTGAGTGCCTCCAAAACAATTTCACGTATGCTATGTGCAACAAAAGTCATCATAATTCCAATTATTTGTATATCCTTGTATTTGTCCATATGTGGTTTCTCTACCTTTCTTAACTGAAATATTTTATGCCAAATGTCTATTAAGTACAGATGCCAATATATATGCCCAACTTGAAGAAAAATGAGAACAGTAGGAATAAAAATAACAATACAATTAACCTTCATAATATGAGAAAGAACATCAAAATGAACAATGACCTCTGGGTCCACAGTTGTTAGAAAACACAGCAGTCATGAACAGGTTCATAAGATGTTATTTGCTCATGCTACTATGTGAGGGGGAAGAAAAGCAAGGAAAGCTTATGAAGCAGTGATACATTTTTTTCCACAATGATGAACTGCCCAATTAGACTGACTTGTTTGATTTGTTTCTTGAGGCTTATGTAAAACTGACATATAATACGGAAACCATATTGAGATTAACAAGATCTGTACCTGAAGCTCAAAGATTCTGGACATGCCTTTTCATGGGCTAACATAAGCATTCATTTTTTACAAGCCACTGGCATGCTTCATAAAAATTTTGCAAATAAAACTGTCTATGGCCAGATTCAAACATGGAACCTTTAAACAGAATGACAATAAACAATAAATCATGGGAAAATAAAAGAAATACTTGTGTCTCACACTTCTAGCCTTAACAGTCCAGTACAGATAATACAGTGATATGTAACTGCTAATACTGATTGTTATATTTGCTCATTAACAAAAAGAAACTGGACTGCATGTGCTTACAGACAAATAACAATTAGACATTAATTTTTAAATATCACAATCTGTATATTTTGGTATCCATTTACAGTTGCTCTTGGAATCAGTTCCATATGAAAGTTATGGAACACCTGCAGTTACATAATATAACACGTGAACAATTTTAAAGAGCAGGTATATTTGTGAAAATACAACATATACATTAAAATAATATATTCAGAGAATGGGACTCAAACTTGCTAGCGTGATCTTCCTGTGAACACCAGTCTGCTATTATCCTGACTGGTCTATAAAGGAACATGGGCAACCAACTGAAGTATAGGCCTTCACCTCTGTTCACACTGCAGGACTTAAAAAAAATATTAAGATTTGAGGTTCTTATGGTGGTGAGTACAAAGATGGCTATCTTCTGGGTTGTAGCACCATGTAGTCTGGTACAAATTTACCATTTCAGAGGTCCTTGCTGCCTCCATCACCATGCTGATGATTACTTACTACCAATTACAAGGTGCTACAACTCAGATGACAGCCATCTTTGTAAAATTAATTATGTTTTTCTTTAAATTAGGCAGACAGAGTGGTGTCTTTGATTAACAAACATCTGGCATAAAAAACTGCAATTACAGAAAAGTCACATAAATATAAATACAAGGAGATTACAAACAAATGTAATTTTGATGCCAACTGTACACTTACATCACTTCTGGTTTGATACTTAGAAAGAAAATCTTCAGGTACTCAAAGTATAATAATACCTTATAATTTGGACCGTAATATGTTCATGCCACTTGGTTTTAAAACATCTGATATGCACACAAACAGCAACGCTATTTGTAGTTAAGAAAATGTTATCTTCAAATTTCCATCAATCTGTGCTGTAATTGGCACCAAACAACTCAATTGGTAGACAAATGGCCACATTACCATTAACTTGTCCTTTCTACATGGCAGGTCACTTTATACAAGTGATTAAACACGTTGATTCACTTCCCTTTGAACTGTTCAGTCATGACAGAAATCAAATGGTGCATAAATAATCTTCAGACCATTAAATAAAATGGTAATCAGCACGTATCGAATAATTGGACACCTTTTACTCAAAACTGACACAGTACTGTCTTGTCAGTGGCATGCAGGTCTGCCAGAATAGCAGCAGCAATTAAGCAAAGTTACCAAACCGAACTTGATGTGATTATGGAAAACAATCACTCACTTTAAATATTGAAACAGCAATGTCACATTGGCAGACATGTATTTACACAAATGTGGAAACTGACCAAAACCACCGGTTGTATTGAAAATAATGAAACAGTGCTCTCACTTATATAAAATATTCCTACATAATAATAAAAATATTCCATTCCTAGAATCAAATACTCATAAAAATGGACTTCATGTTATAGGCTGTTATACTGAACTTTTACTGTAGGAAATTTTATAATTGGAAAACTATACTTACACAATTAAAATATCTTATAAACTTGTGCTATTACTTAAAAATATATTATGTCTTGCCTGGTTACTCTATGGTATTGCTGTGATTTCCACCATCAAATCATAATGCCTTGATTGATACTGATGATGAAACAGCTTTTTAATTCTTTTACTTCTTGCACTGTATCAATATACAATATGGGCATTCTAATAAAGTTGCTTCTTGAAAAGATAATAGTTGCTCAGTTATACAAGAAATTCCCAGCATTTTGTGGAACCTGTATGCTCTGCTCATCTCATCCTCCTTGAGTTGCTCATCTTAATAATATCTGGCAAAAAGTAAAAATTATGAAACTCCTGAAGGGTATTAGGATTATAAAGCTCCTCTTTATGAAATTTTATACAGCTTCCTGTTACTTTTTCCTTCTTAGGTCAAAATAAAAATGTCATTACTAACTAACCAACTAGATGGCTTATGATACCTGTAGGTTCATCACCAAACTAACCAAAGCCCTCCACCGGACCCTGTCCTGGGCCACCAACATCCAGTCTCTTTTAACTCCTATCTCCCATAGATCCTGTCTGAGATTATCCTCCCATCTATGTCCAGGTCTCCCCAGTGGTCTCTTCCCCTCAGGCTTCCAAACCAATACCCAGTGCACATCCCTTACCCCATCCATGCGTGCCACATGCCCTGCCCATCTCATTCTTCTTAACTTAATCACCCTGACAATATTGGGGGAGGAGTACAAATTTTTAAGCTCATCATTATGCAGCTTTCTCCATAACCTATCGTCTTCTCTCCCAGGCCCAAACATCCTCCTCAACACCCCATTCTCAAACACCCGCAATCTATGTTCTTTCCCTCAGAGTGAGTGACCATGTTTTGCACCCATATAAAACATGCAGAATTATTGTTTTGCATATTTTGTGTATTCAATCAACATCATGTTACACCACTATCCAAAAGATGAAAAACAAAATTAAAAGTTAGTAAATTCAAGAGAAACAGTGATATGAAGCAACATGCTTACGTTGTTAGTATATTAAAAAGGGAAGCTATGTTTTGATTATCATCACTACCAGCATAGAATCTATGGTGGCGGTCTGTTCTCAGCACATCCTTGCGTACCATGCTAGTCACATATGCCACGTCTCCCATCACCTGTAACAATGTGAACTTCATTAATGTCTGCCTTACACCAGAGTATACAGCAACATTGTGGATATATAAACTGCATATTGTGATGTGTAAATAAACTGAATGGCAATCTAACCTTTAAAGTACCACAGACTTTTAAATCCCTGTATCCTCTGCTGGCCCAACTGAAATTCCAGTTATGTTACAATATGCATGTTTTTCAATAAAACAATGTATTTATTTATAGTTTATTTATCAAAGCTTTTTTCAGTAGCTCTGACTATATACAGGATCATTGAAAATGTTAGGGCCAATCTGAAGGAGCGTATAGAGGGACTAAGAGAGAACAACTTTCGAATAGGAATCCATGTCCTCCGAAGTTATCCTGAGTCAGTCAAGGTCATTGAAGGTAGGGAAGTCTGATAACATACCACTGACATAATCATACTTTGCTATTCTCCTACTAGCTTAATTTTGTTTTTTATTAATGTACAAGGATTACATGAGCAATCTTACAAACCAAATTATTTCAAATTATTATGAAAAAATAGGTTTTGAATAATTATCTTAGACAAGGCAAATGTCTAGAACAGCTCACCATGCACTAGTAGATCTTCTTGTGTGCCCCATAGAGAACAAGTGCATCAAAAACTTTCATCTCATTACCTGTGATACTCTGCAGTAGCAGGCTGCTAGCTGCTTACAGGATGTATTACTGAAGGTAGAACAGATATGATTCCTCAAATAATAATGTGACCATAAACTGTGCTTGGGGTATTCAATGCAATAAGAATAATCCTTGGTATCAGGTGTTGCATTATGATCCAACCCAGCATTTGTCTCACAAATTCATGTACTTGTCTAACACTACTTTTGCTTTCCACATATCATGCTGAAATGTTTCTTGACCATTTATCACTGTGAAATCAGTAGTTCAGTTGTCCCTTTCACATGAAGTTACTGAAACACTTTATGACCTTGTGGTCAATGTTTATTTGAAAGTTACACAGAATAGCCAAACATAAGAAGGTAATTTATTTTTCCGTGGCGTAACAGCCCTCTGACTAGCTGGCTGCTGGCCTCATGTTCACATGCCTAAGCAGAGGTGAACGATCATCCAACCAGATGTAGGGTGACGTGTGGTCAGCATGACGAACCCCCAGCCATTGCTAGTTTTCATGACCGGAATATGCTACTCATTGTAGCTTCCCAATTTCCTCACAATGCTGGGTTGGTACCGGTCCCATATCTCATGAAAAATTTCTTTCCCCGAGACTCGAACCAACACGCATTCCGTATCACTGGTCCGAAGCATGATGCCTCAGACCACACGGCTAAGGCGCGGGACTAAAAAAGGTAATACCTACTTACAAATCTTGGGTGTTAGTTGTTAAGGAAGGGTGTATAAAAAAATTTATAAAAGAAATGACAGTGGCCATTTTTACAAGAAAACTGATTAAGGTCATAAGGTCATCCATCTAGAGTCCACCAGCATTATGGATCAGAACACAATACGACCACAAAGCCATGTTTTATGATATATTGCATGCCATGTCTTAAAGTCTAAGGTGGGCCAACTAAAAATAACAGTGCTATGCCTTAAAAGACATGTTGGGCCTTTAAAGGTTAACGTAAATTTCAAATTTACAGTATGTTTTTCTTTCCCCACTCCCCTATATAAATATGTAGTAAGACAATTTCTCCGTCGTATTATCAGTGAATTCCTGAAAGCTGGTTAAAGTGTATGTCAGTCATTGTTCTGTCTCTTTGTGAACAATAATCCTTCTTCAATTTCATTTCATACTGAATCCAGCCTACCATTAGGGAAAGTTTTCTCTGGAACGATTTTTCTTTTCCTCTTCATTCCTTCTAAAATATTTGCAAAACAATGACTCCATTTATGTTGACTTAGAGGTACATCAAAAACGATTACAACCTTGTAAAGATTTTAAAGGAAATTAGTGACAAAGATAAAAATAATGATAAAGAATTTGTCACTCTGAGTAAACATCACACTGAGAGTGAACAAAGTGCTTGATCATTGAAAGAATGTGAAGATACCAGTAACACCATTCACTGCTGCAGGATGCAAACTCTATATATAGACAAGACTGATTTGGGTACATGTTGTACTATGCATGACTGCACCTCCAGATGTCTCCCTGGAATATGTGGAACTGTAGAGCATTCTGTGAGTGATCCAGAGAATGCAAGGAAACTTTTACATTTACAGATAAAATTTTAGATATAACTTGCTGTTCACAGCAATATAAGGAAATGGACAAAGCATTCATTGGTCTTTTGCATCTAGCAGGAACTTTGAAGTATGCCAAAACATCATGTAATGATATAAGCAGGGACATCTTCCTAGTAACACTGCCAATTGATTTGATGACACGGGAACAAGAAAGAAAAGAAATAAAAGTAATAAAAGTAAAATGCTTGCAGCCTTCAGAGGTCAGGTTGCTTCAATACGTACATGCAACAAAAGCTGAATAACTGGAAGGGGGGGGGGGCAGGAAGTGATGCAAAAACACACCATAGGGGAGGGTCTTAAGCTTTTATAGTATCCGACATTTCAGGATTTTGGGGTGAGGGGAGAAATGTGTAACGTGAAATTAAAAAATCTTATAAATGATCACAAATTCGTTTCTCTTCATGGAAAATGTATTTTCAATTAAAGAAACTGTCAGAAAATATGTTTACTTTTCCAATATCACAAAAAAGTGTGCTTAGAGTGTGCAACTCCTTTCCTTCAAATGTTTTCTCATTTTAGACAGAACCTTTCAATCTTCAAGGATCTCACTGTCTTTTGCAGCTGTCAAAACTGCTGTTGTACCTGATTCTGTTGATGCCATATCACCACTGAAATGCAGCTCTTTTCAACTAGTTTTTGAAGTATGAATTTTACTGTGAGTTGTATCCATGCACTGAGCTGCTTCTTTAGCCCTATTTACTTCCTTCTGTATACTTTTCTTAGATTTTTAACATTGTCTTTTTCTTTCCTTTAAGTTTATTTATATAGGGGCTGGAAGATTTCACTTGTTTCCTCTCTCTTTATAGTGGTGTTCAGCTTTCTTTCAACTGCATCTGGAAGAGGGGAAATGTTCTGTATTATATTTCTAAATTCAGAGGCACTGCAATCTAGTAACTCAGATGTTGCAATGGCACTGAGGCCAGTGATGCAACACAGACTGAAGAAATTAATGCAGTGGAAATTTCTCTTGGAATGGATGTAGTTGAACTCTAGAGGAACTGCATGAATTTTCTCATACAGAGAGTATGAAATATCTAGTCCCTTCAAATTCACAAAGTCCACGTTGGTGAATACCCTAAAATTTAGGGGGTAGATTCACATGCATTCAATAGCATTCTTGGTTAATTTCAATTCTGCAGATGTTGGTGAATGCTTTGTCCACTAGGCCAGCAATGCAATCCAAAGATATTTTTTAACAGTGATACTTCTACAATGTCTATTATAGGCATCTTACGAGGGCTTTATTACTCCACAATCGAGGGCCTGAGTATGTGTCATATGAGGTGGCAAGCTAAGCATGTGCACATGGTTTTTAAGTGCAAACAAAAACCACATATCATTATGGTTGCTGTGGCCAATTACGATAAAAAGCACTTGATTATCTTCAGTGGGGTGGACATGGTTAACAACTCCTTCATCCATTTAAGAATACTTCTGCTCATAATCCATCAATTTTCTTGGGAATCAAACAAACTACCCTCTGGAGCACTATTCTTTAGTTTGTTTCCCATCGTTTTCCTTGGAAAACAAAGGGATGGATGAACTGATACCCAGAAGCATTAATACAAAAAGGTATGGTAAGATTTCTGCCTCTTTTCCCAGATGTCAACTTTCCTAGCTGCTTCTCTCCAACTTTCAGCACATTTTCATGAATGGAAGAGACCCCAGTTTCATCCACATTAAATATTTGATCATGGACAAATAAATGTTTCTTTTGCAGTTCTTCCAGCTTATCAAAGAATTGGTGCACTTGTTTGCCTATTAAAGTCAAGAGCCATTTGCAAACTAGTTGGCTCCAAAGTTCTCAATCACAGTTCAGGGTAGCTTCTCATAAATTTGTAATGGAACTCTTTACCAGCACACTTTTTTGTGTGTATTAAAATGATATGGAATGTTTAAAATTCCAGCCACTTCACATACCAAAATGCAGAATTAATTTTTTTAGTGACTTAAGTCTACTGTCCAGTTCTTTCCCCAACTTATCGGTATAAGTTCTTGAAATCAACCCATGTCAGGTGTCATTTTCACCATTGGGACTGAAAATCTATTTCCTTTACACACATTTCCTTAACCTAACTTTATCTACAGTAATCTTCCTTCCCTTCCCCTTATTTATGTTTTGAAGTGGACAAACAGTTGTTCATTCTAATAGCAACTCATACTGCCTGAAACAAAGTAAAGAAATACCGAAACCAATAACCAATCCATGAGCAAAGAAAACAGGGTTTATATAATCACCACTGGCAAAACAACAGAAGCCAAAAATATTGTACTTGTTTTAAATAATATCTTCAAGAATTTGTTTGTCCAGTACTATAAGAATCCACAATGTCTGGTACTAGATAAATGGCATGTAAAGACAAAATGGCTCCTATATAAATGTGTTTCCTACTGGAACAAATCATTCCATAAATGCAGTCTGTAGCTTATACAGCAAAATAAAAATATCTAAACAATTATTTTTATTACAAGAATTAGTTAATATGACCTTCCAAAAATAAACATAACTCAAAACTAGTGCACAATGGAAACAATCACTCATAACACTTGACCAACACAACAGATTTACTCCATCTAAGAACTGTCCTCTGTGACAGAGACAAGCCTCTGATGTTTTAAAAATAGCACTAACAAGTGACATTTATGAAAACTAAGCACCGTCAGATACTAGATGGCCTTCCTCTGTGGTGAGTGCCCATGTGTATTATGGCACGGAACATGTCTCAGAAAACCTTAAGAGTAGGTACCCCTCTTCCCCTTTGTAACC